TTGGGGTCACCTGGGGGGGTTTGGGGTCACCTGGGGGGGGTTTGCGATAATTTTAAGGAACATTTTGGGACAATTTTGGGACAATTTTAGGAATATTTTGGGAACATTTTGGGATAATTTTCGGATAATTTTGGGGATATTTTCGGATAATTTTAGGAATATTTTGGGATAATTTTGTGGCTATTTTGGGAACATTTTGGGACAATTTTGGGAATATTTTGGGGATATTTTGGGATATTTTTTTGACTATTTTGGGAATATTTTGATGATACTGGGATAATTTCAGGAATATTTTGGGACCATTTTGGGATAATTTTGGGACAACTTTGGGATAATTTTAGGAATATTTTGAGGACATTTAGGGAACATTTTAGGATGATTTTGGGAACATTTTGGGACCATTTTGGGAACATTTTGGGATAATTTTGGGGATATTTTAGGATTAATTTTAGGAATATTTTGAGGACATTTAGGGAACATTTTAGGATGATTTTGGGAACATTTTGGGACCATTTTGGGAACATTTTGGGATAATTTTGGGGATATTTTAGGATAATTTTGGGACCGTTTTGGGATAATTTTGGGATGATTTTGGGACAATTTTGGGACCATTTTGGGATAATTTTGGGAATATTTTGAGGACATTTTGGGGATATTTTGGGACCATTTTGGGATAATTTTGGGGATATTTTAGGATAATTTTGGGACCATTTTGGGATATTTAGGGACCATTTTGGGACCATTTTGGGATGATTTTGGGAATATTTTGATGATACTTTGGGATAATTTCAGGGATATTTTGGGAGAATTTTGGGACAATTTTGGATAATTTTGGGAATATTTAAGGACCATTTTGGGATGATTTTGGGACTATTTTGGGATAATTTTGGGATAATTTTGGGATGATTTTGGGACCTTTTTGGCGATATTTAGTGACCGTTTTGGGAGTGTTTTGGGGTGATTTTGGGAATATTTAGGGACAATTTTGGGACAATTTTAGGAGTATTTTGGGATAATTTTGGGGATATTTAGGGACCATTTTGGGAGTGTTTTGGGGATATTTTGGGATCGTTTTGGGGTGATTTTGGGATGATTTTGGGACCATTTTGGGATGATTTTGGTACAATTTTGGGATAATTCTGGGATAATTTTGGGATGATTTTGGGACCATTTGGGGACCATTTTGGGGTGATTTTGGGACCGTTTTGGGAGTGTTTTGGGATGATTTTGGGGTGATTTTGGGAATATTTTAGGGAACATTTTGGGGTGATTTTGGGGATATTTTGGGACTCTTTTGGGGATATTTTGGGACCGTTTTGGGGTGGTTTTGGGGATATTTTGGGACCATTTTGGGATAATTTTGGGGTTATTTTAGGATAATTTTGGGACCGTTTTGGGACCATTTTGGGAGTGTTTTGGGAGGATTTTGGGACAATTTTGGGACCGTTTTGGGACCATTTTGGGACTGTTATGGGGTGATTTTGGGGATATTTTGGGACCATTTTGGGATAATTTTGGGGATATTTTGGGATCGTTTTGGGGTGATTTTGGGATGATTTTGGGACCATTTGGGGACCATTTTGGGGTGATTTTGGGACCGTTTTGGGATAATTTTGGGAATATTTTGAGGACATTTTGGGGATATTTTGGGACCATTTTGGGACAATTTTGGGGATATTTTAGGATAATTTTGGGACCATTTTGGGACCATTTTGGGAATATTTTGATGATACTTTGGGATAATTTCAGGGATATTTTGGGAGAATTTTGGGACCATTTTGGGACCATTTTGGGGATATTTTGGGATGATTTTGGGACAATTTTGGGATAATTTTGGGACCATTCTGGGGATATTTTGGGACCGTTTTGGGATAATTCTGGAAATATTTTGGGACCATTTTGGGGATATTTTGGGGATATTTTGGGGATATTTTAGGATAATTTTGAGACCGTTTTGGGACCATTTTGGGACTGTTTTGGGATGATTTTGGGATAATTTTGGGGATATTTTGGGACCATTTTGGGGTGATTTTGGGGATATTTTAGGATAATTTTGGGACCGTTTTGGGACGATTTTGTGTCTATTTTGGGACCGTTTTGGGATAATTTTGGGACCATTTTGGGGATATTTTGGGACCATTTTGTGGTGATTTTGGGATGATTTTGGGATGATTTTGGGATGATTTTGGGACCGTTTTGGGATGATTTTGGGGTGGTTTTGGGATGATTTTGGGACGGTTTTGGGGTGATTTTGGGATGATTTTGGGGATATTTTGGGACCGTTTTGGGACGGTTTTGGGGTGGTTTTGGGATGATTTTGGGATGATTTTGGGGTGGTTTTGGGATGATTTTGGGATGATTTTGGGGTGGTTTTGGGAGTGTTTTGGGACGGTTTTGGGGTGGTTTTGGGCTTCACCTCACCTGAATATCTCCCGGCCAAGGAGAGCACGGCCCCCTCCTCCCCCGGGCGCCGGTGATAAACGAGCTCCGCCCCCAGGGCCAGGTGAGCCGTGACGCTCTGCAGGTAATGAGCCACCAGGATCCCTGCAAAACCCCAAAATTCCTGAAATTCCCTGAAATTCCCCAAAATTCCTGGAAATTCCCAAAATTCCCAACAATTCCCAACCATTCCCAAAAATTCCCAACAATTCTGGGGGTCCTGAGGGGCTGGGAGGGGGAAAAAAAAGGGAAAAATGGGAAATTTGGGGGGAATTTGGGGAAATTTGGGGAGAAAATTCCCAAAATTCCCCAAAATTCCCAGAAATTCCTGGAATTCCCAACAATTCCCAACAAATCCCAAAGATTCCCAACAATTCCCAACAATTCTGGGGGTCCTGAGGGGCTGGGAGGGGGAGAAAAAACGGAAAAATGGGAAATTTGGGGGGAATTTCGGGGAAATTTGGGGAGAAAATTCCCAAAATTCCCAGAAATTCCCAGAAATTTCTGGAATTCCCAACAATTCCCAACAAATCCCAAAGATTCCCAACCATTCCCAACAAATCCCAAAAATTCTGGGGGTCCTGAGGGGCTGGGAGGGGGAGAAAAAAGGGAAAAATGGGAAATTTGGGGGGAATTCGGGGAAATTTGGGGAGAAAATTCCCAAAAATCCCCAAAATTCCCGGAATTCCCAACAATTCCCAACAATTCCCAACAAATCCCAACAATTCCCAACAAATCCCAAAAATTCACAAAAATTCACAAGAATTCCCAAAAATTCTGGGGGTCCTGAGGGGCTGGGAGGGGGAGAAAAGAGGGGAAAATTGGGGAGAATTTGGGGAAATTTGGGAATTTTGGGGGAAATTTTGGGAATTTTGGGAAATTTTGGGGGAAATTTTGGGGGAAATTTGGGGATTTTGGGAAATTTTGGGTGTGGTTTTGGGGATGTTTTTTGAGGATTTTTTGGCGTGTTTTTGAGGTGTTTTTTGGGGATATTTTGGGGATTTTTGGGCTGTTTTTAGGGTGTTTTGGGGGTGTTTTTTGAGGTGTTTTTGGGGCTGATTTTGGGGTGTTTTTGGGGTGTTTTTGGAGTGTTTTTTTGGATATTTTTGGGTGTTTTTGGGGTGTTTCTCAGGGTTGTTTTTGGGTATTTTTAAGGTGTTTTTGGGGACATTTTGGGATGTTTTTAGGGTGTTTTTTGCGATTGTTTTTGGGGTGTTTTGGGGTTGTTTTTGGGGTCTTTCTTTTTATATTTTGGGGTGTTTTTGGGGTATTTTTTTGGATATTTTTGGGTGTTTTTGGGCTGTTTTTTGAGATTGTTTTTTGGGTGTTTCTGGGCTGTTTCTGGGCTGTTTTTTGGGTGTTTTGGGGGTGTTTTTGGGGTATTTTTTTTTATATTTTTTGGGGTATTTTGGGGGTATTTTTGGGGATATTTTTGGGTATTTTTGGGGCGTTTTTGGGTGGTTTTGGGGTGTTTTTTGAGATTGTTTTTTGGGTGTTTTTGGGGTGTTTCTGGGCTGGTTTTGGGTATTTTTGGGGTGTTTTTTGGGTGTTTTTGGGTGTTTCTGGGCTGTTTTTTGGGCTGTTTTTGGCTGTTTCTGGGGTGTTTTTGGAGATATTTTGGGGATATTTTTTGGGTGTTTCTGGGCTGTTTTTGGGTGTTTCTGGGGTGTTTTTGGGGTATTTTTGGGGTGTTTTTGGGGTATTTTTGGGCTGTTTTTGGCTGTTTCTGGGCTGTTTTTGGGGATATTTTTTGGGTGTTTTTGGGCTGTTTTTGGGGTGTTTTTGAGATTGTTTTTTGGGTGTTTTTGGGGGATATTTTTGGGTTGTTTTTGGGGTATTTTTTTGGATATTTTTGGGCTGGTTTTGGGGGTGTTTCTGGGCTGTTTTTGGGGTGTTTTTTGAGTTGTTTTTTGGGTGTTTTTGGGGTATTTCTGGGCTGTTTTTGGGGGTATTTTTGGGGTGTTTTTGGGGTATTTTTGGGGTGTTTTTGGGGTGTTTTTGGGGATATTTTTGGGGTGTTTTTGGGCTGTTTTTGGGGATATTTTGGGGATATTTTTTGGGTGTTTTTGGGGATATTTTTTGGATATTTTTGGGTATTTCTGGGCTGTTTTTGGCTGTTTCTGGGCTGTTTTTGGGGTATTTCTGGGCTGTTTTTGGGGTATTTCTGGGCTGTTTTTGGGGTGTTTTTGGGGATATTTTTGGGCTGTTTTTGGGGTATTTTTGGGCTGTTTTTGGGTGTTTCTGGGGTGTTTTTTTGGATATTTTTGGGGATATTTTTGGGTGTTGTTGAGGGTATTTTTGGATATTTTTGGGCTGTTTTTGGCTGTTTCTGGGGTGTTTTTGGGGATATTTTTTGGGGTGTTTTTGGGGATATTTTGGGGTGTTTTTGGGTGTTTTTGGCTGTTTCTGGGGTGTTTTTTGGGGTATTTTTGGGCTGTTTTTGGCTGTTTCTGGGCTGTTTTTGGGGTGTTTTTGGGGATATTTTTTGGGCTGTTTTTGGGCTGTTTCTGGGCTGTTTTTGGGTGTTTTTGGGCTGTTTTTGGCTGTTTCTGGGGTGTTTTTGGGGTATTTCTGGGGTATTTTTGGGCTGTTTTTGGGCTGTTTTTGGGCTGTTTTTGGCTGTTTCTGGGCTGTTTTTGGGGATATTTTTTGGGTGTTTTTGGGGATATTTTTGGGTGTTTTTGGGTGTTTCTGGCTGTTTCTGGGGTGTTTTTCTCACCCGATCCCATCAGGATGTCGGGGTTGCCCAGGGTCAGCGCCGCCGTGAAGTCTCCGCCCCGATATTCCCCGTCCAGCTGCCAGTTCACAAACTTGGACTGCTGAGTCTGGGCCAAAAACACGGGAATTTGGGAAAAAATCCCCATTTTGGGGGGAAATCCCAGCTTTTGGGGAAAAAATCCCAATTTTTGGGGAAAAAATCCCATTTTTGGGGGGGAAAAATAGCGATTTTTGGGAAAAAAATGGAATTTTTGGGGGAAAAAATGGTAATTTTTGGGGAAAAAAAGGAATTTTTGGGGGAAAAATCCCCATTTTTGGGAGAAATCCCAGCTTTTGGGGAAAAAATCCCATTTTTGGGGGGGAAAAATGGCGATTTTTGGGGAAAAAATGGAATTTTTAAGGGAAAAAATGGTAATTTTTGGGGAAAAAAAGGAATTTTTTGGGGAAAAAATGGAATTTTTGGGGGAAAAATGGCGATTTTTGGGGAAAAAATGGAATTTTTGGGGAAAAAAAGGAATTTTGGGGGGAAAAATGGCGATTTTGGGGGGAAAAATGGAATTTTTGGGGGAAAAATAGTGATTTTGGGGGAAAAAATGGCAATTTTTGGGGAAGAAATGGAATTTTTGGGGGAAAAAATGGAATTTTTGGGGACAAAATGGCGATTTTTGGGGAAAAAATCCCATTTTTTTGGGGGGAAAATGGCGATTTTTGGGGAAAAATGGAATTTTTGGGGGAAAAAATGGCGATTTTTGGGGAAAAAATGGAATTTTTTGGGATAAATCTTAGATTTTGCAGGGAAAAATCAAAAGTTTTTGGAAAAAAATTAAAATTTTTGGGATAAAATCGGATTTTTTGGGGGGAAAATGGAATTTTTTGGGATAAATCTTGGTTTTTGCAGGGAAAAATCGGAGGTTTTGGGAAGGAAATTGGGGTTTTTTGGGATAAATCAAATATTTGGGAGGAAAATCCCGGGTTTTGGGGATAAAAATCCTGATTTTTTGGGGGGTAAAAAATTCCCAAAAATTTTGGGGACCCCTCCAGGTTCAAAAAATTCCACCTAAAAACCAAAAACCCCCCCAAAAAAATTCCCAAAATTCCTCAAAAAAATCCCTAAAATTCCACCCAAAAACCCCAAAATCCCCCTAAAAAATTCCCAAAAAATCCCAAAAAAATCCCAAAAATTCCCAAAAAAATCCCAAAAAAATCCCCAAAAAATCCCAAAAATTCCCAAAAAATCCCAAAAAATCCCAAAAAAATCCCAAAAAATCCCAAAAAATCCCAAAAATCAAAAAAAAATCCCAAAAAAAATCCCAAAAATTCCCAAAAAATCCCAAAAATTCCCAAAAAAATCCCCAAAAAAATCCCAAAAATTCCCAAAAAATCCCATAAAAATCCCAAAAAATCCCAAAAAAATCCAAAAAATTCCAAAAAAAATCCCAAAAAAAATCCCAAAAAAATCCCAAAAAAAATCCCAAAAATTCCCAAAAAATCCCAAAAAATCCCAAAAAATCCCCAAAATTCCCCAAATTCCCCCAAATTGCAGAAACCCTCCCGGAACCCCCCGGAATTCCCAGATTTCCGTACCTGGAACGCCACCCACCTTGGAGCGGATCCGGGAGCTCACCTGGTGAACCACCTGAGCATTGAGGCTCCCGCTGTTGTCCATGTCCCCCACCAGCACTGGGAATGCCTGCAATTCCAGGGAAAAATTGGGAATTTTGGGGGGAAAATTGGGGGAATTTTGGGGGATTTTTTGGGAATTTTTTTGGGATTTTTTTAGGATTTTTGGGGGATTTTTTGAGATTTTTTGGGGAATTTTTTGAGGATATTTTTGGGATTTTTATGGGATTTTTATGGGATTTTTTTGGATTCTTTGGGGATTTTTTGGGATTTTTTATGGGATTATTTGGGAATTTTTTTTATTTCTTTCTGGGAATTTTTTTGGGATTTTTTTGGGAATTTTTTGGGATTTTTTTTGGAAGTTTTTGGGGTTTATTTGGGAATTTTTTGGCAATTTTTGGGAATTTTTTGGGGATTTTTTGGGGATTTTTATGGGATTTTTTGGGGGATTTATTGGGGATTTTTTGGGGATTTTTTGGGAATTTTTTTGGGATTTTTTGGGATTTTTGGGGATTTTTTGAGGGATTTTTTGGGAATTTTTGGGGGATTTTTATGGGGATTTTTTTGGGAATTTTTGAGGATTTATTGGGAATTTTTGGGGATTTTTGGAAGATTTTTTTGGGATTTTTTTGGGAATTTTTGGGGATTTTTTGAGGATATTTTTGGGATTTTCTGAGGATTTATTGGAAATTTTAGGGGGATTTTTTGGAGAATTTTTGGGATTTTTTTGGGACCTTTCTGGGATTTTTTGGGAATTTTTTTGGATTTTTTGGGGATTTTTTGGGAATTTTTATGGTATTTTTGGGGGGATTTTTGGGGATTTATTGGGGATTTTTTGGGGATTTTTTGGGATTTTTTGGGGAATTTTTTTGGATTTTTTGGGGAATTTTATGGGATTTTTTCGGAAAGTTTTGGGATTTTTTGCGGAATTTTTTTGGATTTTTTAGGGAATTTTTGGGGGAATTTTTGGGGATTTTTTGGGGATTTTTTGAGGGATTTTTTGGGGGTTTTTTTTAATTTTTTGAGGATTTTTTGGGAATTTTTGGGGAATTTTTTGGGATTTTTTGAGGGATTTTTTGGGAATTTTTTTTTTCATTTTTTGAGGATTTATTGGGAATTTTGGGGGATTTTTGGGAATTTTTGGGGATTTTTTGGGAATTTTGGGGGATTTTTTTTTTGATTTTTTGAGGATTTTTTGGGGAATTTTTTTGGGGGGGGATTTTTGGGAAAACTCCGCTCCCAAATTCCCCAAAATTCCCAAAATTCCCAAATTTCCAACCCCAAACCCCCCAAAAAAAACCCCAAAATCCCAAATTCCAACCCCAAAATTCCCAATTTTCCCCCAAACCCCCCCAATTCCCAACC